GCCCACTGTTTAGGAGATCGATCCCTCAGAAGTTCCAAAACTTCTTGGGGATCAATCTAAAAAACTGTATGGTTGCAGAAAAACTTGCATGCCAAAAGTTACTCCTTTTTAAGAATTCTTATGCGGATTTATGATATTTATAGCCAAAATGAAAATTTTCATTTTTGCACTGTGAATTTATATCCCATTTGGGATATTATATCCCAAACAGGCTATTATATCCAATTTGGGCGATTGGTTACAACCTGTTTTAAGAAAACAAAATTTTTTGATTTTATTTCTACTGAGCTAGTAAAGGTGTAGACAGAATGTTTTATTGTTAAAATGATAAATGTCCTACGGACCCAGTTTAACGATAGAATGCATTCTGTGTATTGTCAACGTAGCAAAGAAAATACTGGAGGTAACCCTAACTCAGTGCATTTACTATGAAAAATCCTGAGAATTGAATTCTTCCATTATATGGATTAATTTTTAGATGAAAGGTACATGTATTTTCAGTCTCAAAAAGGTTTGTTTTGATTAATTCGACTGTTATTTTCAATGCAACTTCATTAATTTTTCTCCAAAATTGTTTTGGAGCGATTCAGCAATTTTCTGCTACATTATGGATTTATATGGGAGGCATTTTAACTGTGATGAGGGCCTGTCCCGAGACACAGTTAGATTATTCTAACTAGTAAAGGTGATTATTTAGAAAATAAACTGGAGCAACAAATGCTTGTCCAGTTACCCGACTGAAAATTCTCCAGCGAATCAGATGATGTGTTACATTGTTGATATAAAGCATTTTTGATCACCTATGTAGAATGAACGAGTTACTTGTTCTGTCTAATCCAAACACTTGCTTTTTATGTCATTACTTACAAATTTACTAAATGAAAATTTGTGCATGATAGGCAAAAAATGTTATTAAGATTCATTGAGACCAATTCTGGGCCATTAAGCATGTCCCCTCGTATGCTCATTGCTTATGGAAATAAAAAAAATTAAATAACTTTTTTTTTTTTAGAAAGTCAAAGCATCATTCTTAATTATAATGCATTGTAATGTGAATTCAATTAAGTATGACAAGCATTGTCTTCACATAATTTGTAAAAGAACACATTATGTGAAGTGACATCAGATCTAATTTTTGACCGATTATTGACATTAGTGAAAAAATAATGAATCAATGTATAATGTATTCTTCAACATGTTTAATGCATAGTGTTTTCCAGTACATTGAATTTTAAGGAGGAATAAAAGTTAAAATATAATCATATTTCCAGGAGAAGTATGTTACAAAAATTCAGAATTAAATGCTATTTTGCTCCTGTAAAACATGATCTAGCCAATTCCTAATGTATGTAAATAAAATAAGAAATTTTAAATCAGTAAGTAGATGCATGTATATACCTTTAACATTACAAGCTAACCAATTTGCAGGGAAACCAGTGTTTTACGAAGTAAAATGGTCCGGTAAGTACTGCTGCAGTATTGTTTAGCATGATAAGCATGGGATTTAGCATGGGATAACACTATATTCAAATTGTATATATCGTATTATATATGAACTAACAATATTAATTAGTTTTAATGTTTTAGGGCTTGCTTTTCAATAGTAAGATTTAGTGTAGACTAGCACACTTTGTAGATTCCTAATCTACTGTAAGGAATAAAATTAACAGCTGAATAAAGTTATACATTTATAGGGTTATAGTATTGCCATTTTGTGTGTGTGTGGGGGGGGAGGGGGGGGGGGGAGATGTTGTTGTAGTAAAGTCACTCCTTGTTTAACAAGAAAAGGAATCTTCATCATGTTCATATGTGCATGCATTTTAGCTACAGTTATTGTGTTATTGTTTGGCTTGTTAAACAATGTAGTGCCTGATTAGTTGGTCTGTCATATTTAATATTATCACTACTTTGTAAGTGTGCCTACTTTTTCGGCAGCTTCTTACATTCAGCTCACCTGAAGCAAACAGAAATTTATTATGAAACTCCTAACATCTTGGATGTAAAATTTCATATTGATTTCAAACCCAGAAAAAGCTGTAAGCTAAATCAAATTATAATTACATTAATTTTGTAACAGAAAAGGAGAAAATATATGGCTGGACCAGGAATTGAACCCGGGACCCTTGCATCCCTACTCAGGTGCTCTTCCAACTAAACTACCTAGGCTTATATCCACAGCCCAAACCATTACATTCCTCCTTCCTTAAATTGTCTTTGCCCTCGAAGATACAACCCAAGTTCTTATTTACCCCTGGAAGTTCTTTCACTTGCACAACATCAAATTATATAACAGGAAAGGAGAAAATGTATGGCTGGACCTGATATTGATTCTATTACCCCTTAATGATAAGTCAGATACTCTACCCAGGCTGCTATCCATAGCCCAAACCATTACACATTAAATGCTTCAAATCATTCTTTATTCAGGTGTGTAAGTTTGTATGACTTCTGGGTGAATCAATTTATGGTATATAATCAAGGAAGCAGATTTAGCTAGTGTGGGTATTTTCATTCACATGTGCTCTCATTTAGCTTTGATTATTTTCAGCTTTTTATCTGAAACTGATGCATCAATTTTAAAGAATTTGTGTTCAGTTGGAGGATAACGTAATTATGATCCCTGTTATTACTAGTGGTGGGACCTAAACCTTCAAATTAATCAAGTCTAGTCCGACACTGAACTCGCAAAATGATACCTCTCACTCCCATACTAGTGGTGGGACCTAAACCTTCATATTAATCAAGTCTAGTCCGACGTCAAACTCACAAAATGATACCTCTCACTCCCATACTAGTGGTGGGACCTAAACCTTCATATTAATCAAGTCTAGTCCGACGTCAAACTCACAAAATGATACCTCTCACTCCCATACTAGTGGTGGGATCTAAACCTTCAAATTAATCAAGTCTAGTCCGACGTCAAACTCACAAAATGATACGTCTCACTCCCATACTAGTGGTGGGACCTAAACCTTCATATTAATCAAGTCTAGTCCGACGTCAAACTCACAAAATGATACCTCTCACTCCCATACTAGTGGTGGGATCTAAACCTTCATATTAATCAAGTCTAGTCCGACGTCAAACTCACAAATTGATACCTCTCACTCCCATACTAGTGGTGGGACCTAAACCTTCATATTAATCAAGTCTAGTCCGACGTCAAACTCACAAAATGATACCTCTCACTCCCATACTAGTGGTGGGATCTAAACCTTCAAATTAATCAAGTCTAGTCCGACGTCAAACTCACAAAATGATACCTCTCACTCCCATACTAGTGGTGGGACCTAAACCTTTATATTAATCAAGTCTAATCCGACGTCAAACTCACAAAATGATACCTCTCACTCCCATACTAGTAGTGGGACCTAAACCTTCATATTAATCAAGTCTAGTCCGACGTCAAACTCACAAAATGATACCTCTCACTCCCATACTAGTGGTGGGATCTAAACCTTCAAATTAATCAAGTCTAGTCCTACGCTGAACTCACAAAATGATACCTCTCACTCCCATATTAGTATATTAGCAAAGTCAGTGTTGCTATGGAAAAGCCCAATTATCTGTCCCATCAAATAAAATAAATGGTCACAATGGCACTATGTAATAAAGATTCTGTGAAAGTCTCATTTAATTTTATTCAGTTGTATCGGAGGAGTTTCAGAGAAGAGTTGGGTATACCCTTAACCATGACAAATTTATGGTTGGATAAATACCACCACCACTATATACCCCAGCTTTTTTGGTGGGGGTGTTATAATGATACAATTTAGTCTTACAGGCAGGGCCTAACTTCCAAAATAATGCAGTCTTTAAAGATAACTCTTTATTATTGTGAAATATGTGGAGATAAAGAACAGTATTCAAGCTTAAAAGTCCATTAAATATTACAAAATAGGAGTAGAGCAAACACGTACCTCTAAGACATCAGAGGTGGGATAAGGTGCCAGGGAGGAGTGAGCATCCCCTGCCGACCGGTCACACCTGCCGTGTGCTCCATGTCATGATCGGGAAATAACGAAAAATCCGTCGACAATTCAGTGTGTAAATAATGACCTAACAATTAGTATGAGAAAAGTCAGTCAGCATTTGACTTAATGATAGATTGTATTTGCTGACAAGGTCATTGTATCAACCATAGAACTTACGAAATGATGACTTTATACGGGACTGCTGATATTCTTGTTTCATCAACTTGTTTGTCAATAACTTACCTCATTTTAGAAATCATACATACGTAGAGCTTGCTCTGGCATATTGGATCAACTGAGAGATATAAACCCGGTATGCAGGTGATAAGGGTATATTGCTGCATAAGTAAGGGATGTTGACGATTTAAAAGTTAAAGTCATCACGTTTATCATAAAGCTTTATTGTTAGATTACCTTTAACATTTTTTTCTAGTAAAATATCCAAGTATGAAACAAATGTGTCAGACTCTGTGGTATCTTTTATCTCAAGCTCACCGGGATATATAGCACGTCAACATAAGAATGGAAATAACCATTGTTAATTGACGATACATCATCAATATATCTAAATGTCGAGATGAAGGTGACAACAAGTGTTTTCTTCTTTTCAAGTAAAAGATCTTTAACAAATTCTGCTTCATATGAATACAAAAATAGGTCTGCTAATAACAGGGCACAAATTGGTACCCATGGGAATTCCAATAGATTGTTGGAAGACCTGGTCCCCAAAAAACACATAGATATTGTCAATCAGAAATTCGAGCGTCTTTTTAATGTCAACTTCAGAGTACTTGTGTGTACAATCAGATTGTTTTCAAATTAAATGGATTCTATCTTAAATGTGAATGAGGGAAGGGGATATAATTTAATTATACCCCTACTTGAAAAGTGGGGATATATAGTAATAAGGGTGTCTGTCTGTACATCAGTCCATCCGTCACACTTGGGGTTACCCATCTCTTAACCCCAACACCTCCTATACCAATAAATTTCACAGAATATGGCACACCAGACTGAGATTCCAAAATGGGCCTCCTGAATCTCCAGTCAGGTGCTCTACCAACTGAGCTATCTGGCCACCAGCGATCAAACTCGTCTGACTACCACATTCTCATAAAGGAGGTGGAACAGGGAGTATCATTTTGTGAGCTCAATACAGGCGTCTATGTGACCTGTAAAATTTAGGCGCCAACTGGTTCCTAATCAAAACAATTTAGTCGCCAATGCAAAGTTTTAGTTGCCAGGTAAATTTTTCTTAGGCACCAATTTAAAAACTGATATTAGTCAATATATAGAGACATGTCCATTGCTAACTTTTAAACTTCTTTTCTGCTCTTTATAAAAAATTTGAAAATGTTTATAGTTAGTAATTTGATGATCACCAAGTCAATTTAAAATGGTCGCTTTTTTGGCGACTTATAAAAAATTTTTTAGATACCAGTCCTAATTTTTAGGTGCCATTGCGACTAAATTAGTCACCAATTAGAGCCCTGCAATGCTCACAGTACCTCTAGGTATATATTTCCTATTTTGTAACTACAATGTAATTTTGTATTTTTATAATACAACAGTTGTTGTGAGTTCTAATTTTACAATTAAGGCTGACATAGGTGTGTCGTATAATGCTAAGTTAGACTTCATTCAACAGAAATATGTTCCTAAATCGTAAAAAAAATTCTTTGTTTGGGAAGTAAAAGATATTTCTTATATAAAAAAACACCCGTGTTTTTCAATATTTGAAGAGATGTGAAATGGAATGCTTAAATTACATCTTCTTTCATATTTACATGTAGTCCCTTTTCCTGTTTCAGATCAGGCTTCAAGATGCAAGGTAAGGTCACTTTTATTGTGATATCATTGAGTTAAGATGGCAATGACAACAACATAACTGTGTATCAGTGTCAAAAGTTTACACGTGCAGTAGACAAGATAAGCTTAGACTGCCTACAACATAACTGTCTATCAGTGTCAAAAGTTTACACTTGCAGTAGGCCATGACAAGCTTAGACTCCCTACAACATAACTGTGTATCAGTGTCAAAAGTTTACACGTGCAGTAGACAAGATAAGCTTAGACTCCCTACAACATAATTGTCTATCAGTGACAAAAGTTTACACTTGCAGAAGGCCATGACAAGCTTAGACTCTCTACAACATAACTGACTTTGACATGAGTATAAGCATTAGAAGATTTTATTGAATATTACTGAATCATGCTCTAATACTGATGTTAGGACTTAAGGTTTTGCCAAAGGTCAACATGTCCAAAAATTTATTTTTAAAATAGCTCCAAAACTATGTCAGGTATAAAGTTAAAACTTTTACAGTTTATAGATATATCATTGATTAACCGATAGAAAGTATCACTTGAAAACAAATATTTAAAAAAATATTTTTTGAGAAAAATTTTTTTAAAAAAAATTACATATTTTAATAAAAATGCACCTGCTTAATTCTGTACTTTTAGTGAAAACCATATCATTGCAGAATTAATATATGTTTATCAATGAAGGGCAAGTTGGACGTGAATGGTCTCTGAAAGGCTGTTATTGAAAGCATGACATGTATAAAGACAAGACCCCTATAAAATCCGCCATTTGCAATGTACTTTCAGTTTCAAATCTTAACATTTAGACAAAATAAACAGGGAAAACAACTTTTCAAAGACTATCGAAGTCCAACTTGCCCTTCATTGATAAACATATATTGTTTCTGCAATGATGGCTTTCACTAAAATACAGAATTAATTAGGTGTATTTTATAAAAAAAAATATATGCATTTTTTAAAAAGAATTTTTCTCGATAATTTTTTTTTTTTTTTTAAGTATTTGTTATCAAGTGATACTTTCTATCTGTTAATCAATAATATATTTATAAACTGTAAAAGTTTTAAGTTTATAAACCACATAGTTTTGGAGCTATTGTAAAAATAAATTTTTGGACATGTTGACCTTAACCTTAATCAAAGGCATTATGTTCAGTTTTAAAAGTTTATCGAGTTACAAATAAAAAATTTTTAAAGTTTAATTCATGAATGAAATTAAAGTTTAAAGAAGATATAATGAAGTGAACCGCAAAACCTGAACCAAATGAAAAATTGCAGTACTGAGCTTAAACATTTTTGGAACTGTGACAGCCTAGCTTAAATGATTTTGATTGTTGTACTTGTTTTAATGAGAGGTTAGGTTTTCATCATCTTGTCAGTAACACTACAAAGTACACACTAACAGTAAATCCATATCAAGTCCAGACTACCATGAAAAAGTCTTTTTGTCATACAAAATGTAGATTTTTTCTTAATATTAAACTAATCTGGGATTCAGAATTTTTTAGTAAAACTCCACACTGTAAGAAGTTGATTTTATTGACTTGGATTAAAAGCTAGTTATTAACTTTTAACATTGCTTGTCCATATTCTTTGATTAGCTACAGTGTAACTGCTTGGAATTTCATAGACTGATTTTTATGCCCCGCCATGAATATGGCCAGGGCTTATAGTGTTTGTCATGTCTGTCTTCCGTCCTTCTGTCCTTCCGTCTGTCCTTCCGTCACACTTTGCATTTAGCTCTGTTCAAAGCTCAGTTTCAAAGAAACTATCCAAGATATTTTTATCAAACTTCATATGCTGTTAGATATTGATGAGAGCTATGCAACTGCATCAACATTTTTTGACCTTGACCTTTCCTTTGACCTTGACCTCACTTTTCTTAAATTAGTGTTCAGCTCAGTTTTAAAGATACCATTCAAGATAGTGTTATCAAACTTCATATGCTGATACATACTGATGAGAGCTATTCAACTGCATCAACATTTTTTGACCTTGGCCTTTCTTTTGACCTTGACCTCACTTTTTAGCTCACCTGAGCCGAAGGCTCAAGTGAGCTTTTCTCATCACATTTTGTCCGGCGTCCGTCTGTCCGTCCGTCTGTCTGTCTGTAAACTTTTCACATTTTTGACTTCTTCTCAAGAACCACTGGTCCAAATTCAACCAAACTTGCCACAAAGTATCCTTGGGTGAAGGGGATTCAAGTTTGTTCAAATGAAGGGCCACGCCCTCTTTCAAGGGGAGATAATTAGGAATTAGTGAAAAAATAATGGCATCATTTAAAAATCTTCTTCTCAAGAACCACTGGGCCAGGAAAGATGAAACTTATGTGGAAACATCCTCAGGTAGTGTAGATTCAAATTTGTTCAAATCATGACCCCCGGGGGTAGGGTGGGGCCACGATGGGGGATCAAAGTTTTACATAGAAATATTTAGGAGAATATCTTTAAAAATCTTCTTCTTAAGAACAGGAAAGCCATGATTGGTCATATTTATATGAAAGCATCCTCAGGTAGTGTCGATTCAAGTTTGTTCAAATCATGACCCCCAGGGGTAGGGTGGGGGCACGATGGGGGATCAAAGTTTTACATAGAAATATATAGGAGAATATCTTTAAAAATATTCTTCTTAAGAACAGCAAAGCCATGGTTGGTCATATTTATATGGAAGCATCCTCAGGTAGTGTAGATTCAAATTTGTTCAAATCATGACCCCTGGGGGTATGGTTGGGCCACAATGGGGGATCAAAGTTTTACATAGAAATATACTGTGGTTTCAACAATTTTCGTTGGCATCAATTTTCGTGTATTTTGTAAAACAGATGTTTTCGAGGATACGTAATTTCGTGGACAAAAGCATTGCCTATATAAATGAATAATATATTTCGTAAATCAATGAACATTTAAGTTCGTGGATCTGCCCAACAACGAAATCCTCGAAAATTGGTGCTCAACGAATATTGATGAAACCACAGTATAGGAGAATATCTTTAAAAATCTTCTTCTTAAGAACAGTAAAGCCATGATTGGTCATATTTATATGAAAGCATCCTCAGGTAGTGTAGATTAAAATTTTTCAAATCATGACCCCTGGGGATAGGGTGGGGCCACAATGGGGGATCAAAGTTTTACATAGAAATATATAGGAAAATATCTTAAAATATCTTCTTCTTAAGAACAGTAAAGCCATGATTGGTCATATTTATATGGAAGCATCCTCAGGTAATGTAGATTCAAATTTGTTCAAATCATGACCCCTGGGGGTATGGTTGGGCCACAATGGGGGATCAAAGTTTTACAAAGAAATATATAGGAGAATATCTTTAAAAATCTTCTTCTTAAGAACAGCAAAGCCATGATTGGTCATATTTATATGGAAGCATCCTCAGGTAGTGTAGATTAAAATTTGTTCAAATCATGACCCCTGGGGATAGGGTGGGGCCACAATGGGGGATCAAAGTTTTACATAGAAATATATAGGAGAATATCTTTAAAAATCTTCTTCTTAAGAACAGTAAAGCCATGATTGGTCATATTTATATGAAAGCATCCTCAGGTAGTGTAGATTCAAGTTTGTTCAAATCATGACCCCTGGGGGTATGGTTGGGCCACAATGGGGGATCAAAGTTTTACAAAGAAATATATATAGGAGAATATCTTTAAAAATCTTCTTCTCAAGATCAGGAAAGCCATGATTGGTCATATTTATATGAAAGCATCCTCAGGTAGTGTAGATTCAAGTTTGTTCAAATCATGACCCCTGGGGGTATGGTCGGGCCACAATGGGGGATCAAAGTTTTACAAAGAAATATATATAGGAGAATATCTTAAAAAATCTTCTTCTCAAGATCAGGAAAGCCATGATTGGTCATATTTATATGAAAGCATCCTCAGGTAGTGTAGATCCAAGTTTGTTCAAATCATGACCCCTGGGGGTATGGTCGGGCCACAATGGGGGATCAAAGTTTTACAAAGAAATATATATAGGAGAATATCTTTAAAAATCTTCTTCTCAAGATCAGGAAAGCCATGATTGGTCATATTTATATGAAAGCATCCTCAGGTAGTGTTGATTCAAGTTTCTTCAAATCATAACCCCCAGGGGGTATGGTCGGGCAACAATGGGGGATCAAAGTTTTACATAGAAATAAATAGGAAAATATCTTTAATAATCTTCTTCTGAAGAACAGCAAAGCCATGATTGGTCATATTTATATGGAAGCATCCTCAGGTAGTGTAGATTCAAGTTTGTTCAAATCATGACCCCCAGGGGTAGGGTGGGGTCACAATGGGTGATTAAAGTTTACAGAGGAATATATAGGAAAAAATCTTTTTCTCAAGAACAGAAAAGCTATGATTAGTCAAATTGATTATTGATATGGAGGCATCCTTGGGTAGTGTAGAATGAAATTTGTTCAAATGAGGGCCCACGGGGGTAGGGTGGGGGCCACAATGGGGGATCAAATTTTTACAAATGAAAATATGGGAAAAAATCTTCTGCTTTTAAAATTCAACCCCCCCCAACAACCCCCCCCCCCCCCCCCCCCCCCCCGGTAAACTGTTCAATACTGAACTTATTTGTGCTTTTTTTCCTAGCCAATATGCTCAGGTGAGCGATGTGGCCCATGGGCCTCTTGTTTTAAATTAGTGTTTAGCTCAGTTTTAATGAAACCATTCAAGATATTTTTAACAAACTTCATATGCTGATACATACTGATGAGAGCTATTCAACTGCATCAACATTTTTTGACCTTGACCTCACTTTTCTTAAATTAGTATCAAACTTCATATGCTGATACATACTGATGAGAGCTATTCAACTGCATCAACATTTTTTGACTTTGACCTTTCCTTTGACCTTGACCTCACTTTTCTTTAATTAGTGTTAAGCTTAGTTTTAAAACCATTCATAATATTTTTATCAAACTTCATTTGCTAATACATACCGATGTAACTTTCAATTGCATAAACAATTTTTTTTTTACCTTGACCTTTCATTTGACCTTGACCTCACTTTTCTCAAATTTGTGTCAAACTTCATATGCTGATACATACTAATGTAAGCTATTCAACTGCATCAATATTTTTTCACCTTGACCTTTCCTTTGACCTTGACCTCACTTTTCTTTAATTAGTGTTTAGCTTAGTTTTAAAACCATTCATAATATTTTTATCAAACTTCAAATGCTAATACATACCGATGTAACCTTTCAACTGCATAAACAATTTTTTTTTTACCTTGACCTTTCCTTTGACCTTGACCTCACTTTTCTCAATTTGTGTTAAAATGTTGCATTACTAATGTACCCTCGGCGGGGCATTCATGTCCTATGGACATATTTCTAGTTTTTAATAGAAAGCTCTTGATGATTGATTCTATCAAGAACTCTGATAAGAGGGGATAACATAATGATCAGAGTCTCATTATTTGTATATTTCAGATTTACTAAGAAGATCTGCAGCATGTCTTTGTATTGTGTTTGTTCTTGGAGCAGCATTTGTCATGATGGAATTTTCTTCAATCATTATAAGAAATCGACAAATAGTAAAAAAGACAAAAGTTCCGACTGAGATAAAATCTCTCCCTGGACAAAATAAATCCAGTCAAGTAACGAGATCCACAATCTGGCCCGTCAGCACTAGACCAGCTCCCACACATTATCTTACTGTCAATTTTGAAGGACGGCTTGGGAATCAAATATTTGAATTTGCCTCAATGTTTGGGATTGCCAAGCATAACAATCTCATACCTATTATTCCTCCCAATTCTCTACTTCGTAGAATTTTCAAGATATCTGTGGACAATACAAGGTCTGATATCAAACTCACCAGACGGTACCATGAGAAGAAAGGTTGTACCTTTGAGCCAGCCCTGATGTCACTTGGTGGGTTTCAGAATGTGTGGATAAAAGGATACCTTCAGAGCTGGAAATACTTTCAACACATAGAAAAGGAACTCAGAAGGCAATATACATTTCAAGACCATATAGCATTAAAAGCCAAATCCACATTCCAGTCGGTTATCTCAGAAAAGAAAATCACCTCGGACACGGTCTTTGTGGCTGTTCATGTCCGTAGGGGGGACATGAAAACTAACCAAAACTTTGTGAACTATGGATATACCACGGCAGGTATTGATTACCTTGAAAGAGCCATGAACACATTCCGCAAAGACTTTAACAACATACTCTTTGTTGTGGGATCTGACGATCTGAAATGGTGTAGGGAGAACTTGAAGAAGGATGATACCGTATTCATTCCTCCAGGAAGTTCCCCTGAAATGGATGTGGCAATACTGACCAACTGTAACCACGCGGTGATGACCGTCGGGAGTTATGGCTGGTGGACGGCATGGCTCATCAATGGTAGAACTATTTACTACAAAGGATATCCTACGCCTAAGTCTAGTCTGGCAGCTTTATTCAAGGCTGAAGATTACTATTTGCCTCACTGGGTTCCTATGTGACAAGTTTTCAATTCTTTTTACAAGCTTACGTACATAAATTTATGCAATTCTTAAAGTGATTGCCTTAGCTCAATCCACAAAACTAAGTTTCTGTATCCTTAAAGTATTACACTTACACAGACAGATCATTACACATACAGGTCATTGCACTGACACAGACAGGTCATTACACAGACAGATCATTACACTGACAGGTCATTACACATACAGGTCATTACACTGACACAGACAGGTCATTACACAGACAGATCATTACACAGATAGATCATTACACTGACAGGTCATTACACATACAGGTCATTACACAGACAGATCATTACATAGACAGGTCATCAGACAAAAAAAAATCATTACACAGAATCAGACAGGTCATTACACAGAAGGTCATTACACAGAAGGTCATTACAAAAACAGGTCATTACAAATACAGGTCATTACACAGAATCAGACAGGTCATTACAGACACAGACAGGTCATTACACAGATAATTGAGAAGTAACTAAAAGTTCAACAGACTTGTAAAAATAATTGTAAGAAAGTGTACAGAGCTTTAATTCATGATTTGGATAACTACATACATATTCTACACAATCCATAGCTTTATTAGCTCACCTGAGCCCAAGGTTCAAGTAAGCTTTTCTGATCAAAAATGTTCAGATCAGTCTGTCTGTTGTATGTTGTCTGTAAATTTTTCACATTTTCAACTTCGTCTCCAGAACCACTGGGCCAATTTCAGACAAACTTGCCACAAAGTATCCTTGGGTGAAGGGGGGTGTAAGTTTGTTTACATGAAGTGCCACACCTTCTCTCAAGGGTGATAATTAAGAACTCATTAAAATTTGGTGGCATCATTTAAAAATCTTCTCAAGAACCACTGGGCCAGTAAAAATAAAACTTATTTAAAAGCTTCATTTCATACTGTAGATTCAATTTTCTTCATATCATGACCCCCAAGGGTAGAGTTGAGCCAAGAACAGCAGAGTCATTAATAGTCATTTTAATTTAGAATAGTCCTCAGGTAGTGTAGATTCAAGTTTGTCTAAATCAGGACCCCCTGGGGATAGGGTGGAACACAACAGGGGATCAAAGTTATACATAGAAATACGTGTATAGAGGAAATATCTTTTAAAATCTTCTACTCAAGAACAGCAGAGCCGCGATCAGTCATATTTATATGGAATCATCTTCAGGTCATGTAGATTAAAGTCTGTTCAGTCATGACCCATGGGAGTAGGGTTGGACAGAAATGGGGAATCAAACTTTAACACAGGGATATATACGAGAAGTCTTTAAAAATCTTTATCCCAGGAACAGCAAAGCCATGATTAGTCATATTTATATGAAGCATTGTAGATTCAAATTTGTTCAAATCATGACCCCCAAAAGTAGGCCAGGGCAACAATGGGCATTCAAAGTTCTTCATAGGAAAACATTAGAAAAATCTTAAAAGTCCTCTTCTCAAGAAAAGCATATCCATGATAGGTCATATTTCTTTATAGAAGCATCCTCCTGCAATGTAGATTGAAGTTTGTTCAAATCATGACCCCCCTTGGGTACGGTGGGGCCATTATATGTGATCAAATTTTTACATAAGAATATGTAGGAAAAAGAATCTGCTGATGAAGAACAGAAGGGCCAAAGTTACTCAGGTGAGCGTTGTGGCTCATTGGCCTCTTGTATATTCATAAAAGCAGCATTAAGTGCAGTTCTTTTAAAGCATATCACATACTGTAAATAAAGCGAGTTTTTTTTTATAGGTTCAATAAAATACAGTTGAACTTCGATATCACGAACACTGATATCTCGAATACCATGGATATGTCGAATTGATTTGGAAGTCCCAACTACTAATTCTTTAAATATTTTACCCTCAATATCGAAAATCCTTGGATACCTCGAAGTTTTTTCTCAGTCCAATCAAGTTTGAGATATCGAGGTTTGACTGTAGTTGTGGGATAGTTTATGTTCAGCAGTCTGTTAGGGATATTATTATAAACATTTTTTTTTTTTATAATACTCTGCTTTAAGTTTTATGTATACTGCATGTAGACCCACCATAGTTTGCTTCGGTGATGAATCCAGATTTGTGTGAATGCCTTATACATGAACATCATGGAGTATGATTAATGCAAATTCAATTTTATTTCATGAATACTTTATAATGTTTTACTTTAAGAAATCTATTGTGAATAATACACTGGTGTAAATATTGAAGAAAAGTGTGCAATTTTTTTAGATAACTTATTGAAAAGTTTATTATCTTTTAATTTATATTTTTTACATATTTATCCAATGTTATTTAACCCAGACAATTTGATCCAAGCTTACTTTGGTCTGATACCGTAAATCACTTTGTATTTGTGAGAATTTTATTTTTGCATAATCATGTGAGACTGTCAGCTCATGAAAATTTTATTCTCGTGTATATTTGTAATATGGAAGATTACATAGTTCAATGACCGAAATTCATGAAAATTTTGTCTCGCTAATAGAAACCAGCAAAAATAAGGTGTCACAAAAATTAAAGTGATTTTCAGTAGTTCTTTGTTTACTTTGGTGTAGTTATAGGCTCATCTTAAGATGGGACATACTGTATGTCTGTCTGTCTGTTAGCTTTTTCATGTCTGGCTCATAACTAAAGTACTATGAAGCCTAGAATAATTAAACTTTATAAGCTGATACATCTTTGGTAGAAGGTGCCTTGCACATTAAAAATAGGTTGCTGTGACCTTAAATTGAGATGATGTGGCCAAATATGGAAAAATTCTGTCCATCTTATAACTGGTAAACTATGAGACCTAGAATCCTAGAACTTGGTGAACTAATGCATGTTCAATAGAAGGTGTGTTGCATCCTACTTAAAGGTCGCCGTTGCCTTTAATTCAGGTAGGCTATAGCATTGCTCTTCATTGATAAAAAATACAATGAACAAAGCTGCAGGTGGGCATTTGTAAAATTTTTACACAACCAGTTTAGAAATATATGATGTACTATTTGTTCTAAATAATATCTACAAAATAGGAAATGCACATCGAACATCAGGAATAAAAAAATAAATCATTGAAATCTTTGTACCAAGGATGACATGATTTTCTTCCTTGCACTCTAATCTGTTTATGATAATTGAACAATATTTGATGGGCATATCATTTGCCATGGCAGTGCACTTTATTTTGAAAGTGCCATTATAGATAAAAGTAAGAAAATCTTAAATGAAACAAAATCCATCTTCAAATTTCATTTCTCAGAGTCAGGGTTTGGAAAAATTTGAAAATGATTGGCATAAAATGCACAATAAAGACCTTCTATACACTAAATCAAAATGTTTACTGTAGAAAAAATTGCCCATTCAGATAATTGTGTTGTGATCATTTCTATGTAATATTAGTATATAAACAGAGAAATCCATGATAAAGTGATATGCATGTATATTTATTTGAAATCCTGATATTTTTGTTTTGTGTTATGACTATGTAAATGATAAAATGATGTACTACTGTAAATCATAGGCATTGTGTCAAACTATCGTATTTTACAAATATTGTATACTAAAGAATACAACGTGAAAGAATCAACATCAAGTCAAATTGGCCCAAATGGCCAGTATTGTACATGTATATAGGGTGGATTCCAATTTTTTCAAAAAATTTTTGGTTTGTTCGTTAAAAATAATTGAAATGTTATATATCATTTAGGTACTCCAAAGGATTTTATATGGATTTCCCAAAGAACAAAATTGAAAATACTGGCAGATCTACAATGAATTTGATATTTGCTTGAAAATCTTCACTTTTGTTGGAGAAAATACACCAAAGAAATTTTTTTGTATTTTTTTTTTTAAATTCCTATACAGAACCTATACAATATAATATCATGTCATGTGTAGTTTATATCATAAACGAATGTAGTTTTAGTCACAATTATTGTCTGGCAGAACATTTTATTTACTGTGGAATCATCATTGTTCGTGGGGGATCAACGTTCGTGTATTTCGTGGGTCAACCTTACCCACGAATTTACATCCCCACGAACATTTTTTGTCAGCGTACTGATTAATTAAATCTACCAAATAAACGAACTGCCCACGAAATTACATCCCCACGAACCAATAAAATTTTGCTTGCCCACGAACATTGACCCCCACGAATTTAAATGATTCCACAGTATTACATTCCATGGTGAAAACAATGAGTTCTGTGTTTCTTTTTGAGCTGGTCAGTGTACGAGTAAGAGTCATCTCTCCTTGTACCGCTATAGCTGAGCAAACTGTTTAGCGGTTTCTTCCATATCTGGTAATGGCTTTCTGGAAGAGGTCGACTAAAAGTGGAAAATGGAAATAAGAAATTAGTTCTAAAAGTAATGCCATTTGGTTGTGATGAGACTATTTATGTTAAAAAATTCCATATTTTGACCCATAAATTCAAAAGAAACACCGCAGATTAACATTTCATTGTACAGTTGGAATAATTATTGTTGCTTATGAAGTTTGCAATATCATTTCTTCTTCAATTTACCTGTTTCTTTTGTGCTTCTTTCGCAGGTTTTGTGGTCTCGGTGATGGCTTTTTGTACAGAATCGAAGATTTTATTGGATTCTTCAGTTTTCTGTTTATTTTTGAAATTCAGCTGAAAAAAATCATCTTAGTAAGGTTTTAGATCCCTAGATAAAAAACAGGTTCAGGACTCTCTATTGTTTATAACTGGGACAAGGGCCTCATTCCCACTTTAAAAAAAGGTACATTTTCCCCCAATTTAATCAAATGTGTTATTTTCCCAATAGTAATTTCTCCCAAAAATTAAAGAATGCAGATGGATACATAATAACTAACTTGCTATTTATAAAAGTTGATAACAAAAACCAGTAACCCAATATATCATGATTTTAAAGTACAGTTGAAGTTCGGTATCTCAAACACCGATATCGAAAACCATGGATATGTTGAAGTGATTTTGAAGTCCCAACCACTTGTTCTTTAAGTATTTTACCCTCGATATCTCAAATCCTCGGATATCTCGATGTTTTATCTCAGTCCCAATGAGTTCGAGATAACGAGGTTTGACTGTATAATGGTTATCCAAAATTTTCCCAAAAGATCGCTATTTTTCCAATCTTTACGATCCCAATCCAATTCCCAAAAAGTGGTGTGAGAGCCCTGAATTTACAAGAGGCCCATGGGCCACAACACTCACCTGAGTCACTGATTCTGCTGTTCTTTGGCAACATTTTTTTGTTTAATTTCCTTCTTTAATAATATCATAGAAATTTTGACTCCATATTATGGACCAAAATCTAGGGCCTAACCCTTGGAGAGCTTCTATTAATTTAATCAAAGTTGAATCCACACAACCTTGGGATGGTTCAGTATCAATACAATCAACATGACCATTGTTCTGGAATGATTTTTCCCTGGACACATGCAATATGTAAAATTTGGATTTCTGATTTTGGCCTAACCCTTACCCTAGATTTATAATTTTAAAAATAATTCTACATAGGAATGTTTTGCTTTTAAATATGATTTAGTGTGGTCCTGCCAGTGTTGAAGAGATTTCTTCCGTAGGCCTATATACTAGTTCTCTCTCGTAAAACTGTTGTCTCAATCTATTCCCCAAGGTCCTGTTCTGATCAAACTTGAATCAAAACTACCCGAGGATGCTTAAATATCAATATGACTAATAATTACTCTGCTATTCATAAGAGGAAGAATTCTAACCCCCCCCCCCTTATATGTTCCTATATTAAACTTTTGTTTCCACTTGAGGCCTCACCATATCCCCAGGGGGGCCTGATTTGTACAAACTTGAATCTACACTACAAGAGGATGTTCCAGTATGAATACATGTATGACAAATCATAGCTTTGGTGTTCCTGAGGAGAAGATTTATAAATATTTTTTCCTATATTTTCCCATGTACCTGGTAAAGCTTTTACATGTAAATTCAAGTTTGTTCAAAACATGATCCCTTGGGTTTGAGTGGGGCCACAATATTCAATCAAAATTTTTCATAGGTATACTGGTAAAAAAAAAATCTTCAAAAAACTTCTCCAGAACAGCAAAGCCATGTTTAGTCATATTAACGTGGAAGCATTCTCAGGTAGTGTAGATTCAAGTTTGTTCAAACCCTGACCCCCAGGAGTAGGGTTGAGCTACAATAGTCAAAGTTTTACATAGAAATACAAGAGAAAAATCTCTAGAACGGCAAAGCCATGATAAGTCATTTATATGGAAAACTGCTCAAGTAGTGTAGATTCAAGTTTGTTCAAATATTGACCCCAAGGAGTAGGGATGAGCTATAATTGTCAATCAAAGTTTTACATACACAGCTACTGTGTCGTATTCCTACTGTCAGCAGAATACGACGTAAGGATCCACTCCTTACTCCGCGACTCTAGAGCAAACACTCTAACCACTGCGTCATGCGGCTGACTTTACATAATGCATGTGTAGGTGTACAGGAGATAAATCTTCTTCAAAACAGCAGGACAATGTTGATGTATTGATATTAAAGCTTGTTGTGTTGATTTAACTTTGAATGAATCAGAACTTTACGTCTAGATTTCGATCCATAACATGGAGTCAAAATATTAATGAAATTAAAGGGGAAAATTTAAAAACTTAGGTTTCTTAGGTGAGCATTGTGGCCAATGGGCCTTTTGTTAAAAGATGTCATTAAATTATAACTAATTCTTCATTTTCTCCCCTTGAAAGAGGATGTGCCCTTCATTTGAACAAATCTGAATTCCCTTCCCCAAAGAGTACGGCATGTTTGGTTGAAATTTACCAGAAATTTACGACGACAACACACACGGGACAAACGTTGACTCAGGTGATCTAAAAAAAACCAAAGATATAAAGCAAACCTTCTTCAGATTGGTGTTGACGGATTTAATCTTGGGTTTCCTCACGCCGGCGATTTTGAACACGGCCGAGTCTCTATTTCCTGTTCCGCTTCCTTTCTGTTTACTTTTGCCCATGGATAATATCGCAGATTCCAATTAACGCTTGTCTAAAAACACAACATGATTTGTAATTTATCATTTACAAATATTTATACATTGTCATTAATGGTGAAATTAGGCTTGATTACTAGCATATTTCAATACTACAAAAAATAATGACGCAAAATCTTTAAACATTCACTCGGAACTAAATTCTATGTTTGCGTTAAAAATGGTCTTGAAGTAATACTCCCTATTGAACCCAAACTTTAAAAAAAAGTTTATTCCTTCAAGACTTATCGATGGTTTGACGACATAAAGCGTTACACTCCAATATGTACATACACCTGTATCCTCCAAAACTGCAGTTATTATAATTTATTGGATATGGATTTAAAATTACAGACAAGTAGGCCTAGTATTGGAGGGGACACTTTTTCCAAACATAAACTTTTACTATTGAAAATCTTCACTGAAAGCCCGGTCCCCCCCCCCCCCACTTTTCGTTGCAGCACCCCACCCCACCCCCCGAAGTAGGATTTTCGACTTAGGACAATATCCCCCCCCCTTTTTTTTGCTTATTAAGGATTTTTCAGGTAATCAACTGTCCCCCACATCACCTTTCAAAAACGATTACTACATTTTGGTCCATTTTGCTATGATGTCTATGGCACGCCAATTTCACAAAAAATAGCGAAACTTAGTTTCACAGTTGATAAACTAGGTTTATCGACTGTAAATTATAGTTTACAAACCGTGAACTATAGTTAACGATTCGTTAACTATAGTTTTCATCTGTAAAACTATATTTAACGGTTGTTAACTATAGTTTACGAATGCTAATCTAAGTTTATCTGTCTGTAATTAAACGTTAACAATAGATTTGTTGATAAACATAGATTCACATCTGTAAACTATAATTTACAATCGTGAACTATAGTTAAGAGTTGTTAATCATAGTTTCACAAATCGTGAAACTATATTCATCAGATAAACTATGTTTTACATTCGTTAACCATAGATTTCGGTTGTAAACTATAATTAACTGTCATTTATACTCACAAACTATATTTAACAGACGTAAACTATACTTATCGATCGTAAACTATAGTTTTGAGAGCTAAACTATGATTCACATTTGCCAATCATAGTTTATCGTAATAAACTATAATTCACACTCGTAAACTATAGTTAAGAGTAGTTAAATATAGTTTATGAATCTAAACACCTGTTAACTGTTAACGATAGTTTTCAATTCGAAATTTCGCGGCACCAATCGCGAGAGGTTTTATATTAAGGACACGTGTCAGGCATTATCTAAAGCAAAGACCGAGTTATATATAATAAATATTACTTTCTCTATTTAAACAGGATTAATTGTATTTGTTTTAAAATGTCGTGTATATATACATTTCCTATGGGGAAATTTTTAGAAATATGATAAAATTTTAATTTTTTAAAAGACAGAATATTACGAGATTTTTGCTCAAGCAGAGGAGGGTGAAGCGCGTTTTACAATGTGCCAAGCATTTTCCCGCCACATCTCATCACCAAAACAAAGAAACTGAAAGAGAGGAAATGCAGTGGCGGATATTATAGATAGGGTTGTGGGGGTTTCAACGTCCTCCTTTGAATTTAAGAGAGAGAGAATGAGAGAGAAGTCCCAAATATTTGTTGTGTTTGTTCCGTGAAAGGCCACTTTTATTTATGTATGAAGAAAATTCGGTTGTTGAAAAATAAATTCCGCTCCTGCAATGTTACATGTACTGTGTTATGTCTTTATTTACAGATGAATATAAGATATACATGTATTTTATTAATGACAGATCACGCATTTCGGTCTCTATTTTCTCTTTTAAATCAAAAAAATAAAATTTTAATCAATAATTTTCCAGTCATTTTTCTTTTTATTTCCAACTAGATTTGCTTTAAAATAATAGAACATTTACTTATAACGCCAACAAGAAATATACATGCATATATATTTAACAACAATTGTCGTTACATAGCAAAATCTTATAATGCTGTAACTAGGATTAGCCGATCTATAATTTACAAAAAAAAAACAAAACAAAAAACTATTGTTAACTATAGTTTTGATCGTAAACTATAGTTTAGAGTTGTGAAATATAGTTTCACAGAAAATTATGCATCTCCGATACGAAATATGAGATTCTGTTTGTAAACTGTGTTTCTCAAATGTAAAACTATATTCATCCCAAGAAATCCCGTCCGACTTAGCTTTGAGCTGAACTCAATACAAGTGCTATTAACGCTAATCACCGATATTCCCCTAAGAGTGATTCGAGACAATTTATGGCAGAATATTGTAGAGGTGGATCTAAAAAAAAAATACTTATACAAATATTTTCCTCGGATGTCATTGATAATTATAGTATTTATTTCCTTTAATATGCTCAATATTATTTTGCTACCACGCGTTCTTCTACCTTTTTGCATGTGGAATTTATTTAAATTTTATTTAGAATTAATTAAATATATCTTGAAATTTAGCGATTTCTTTTTTATTATAGCTTTAAAATATTTTTAAATCAAAGGAGAATCTATAGTGTACAAGTCCCTCTAACAGTCTAAGAGATCGTGAGTTACCCCATACCCTGCATATTTAACTTAACCCTTGAGAAGAAGGTAAACATGGCCTATTTACACTCTTCCTACTACGCATTCAAAGGCAATATTTCTCAATATTTGAAATTTTAATTCTTTTCCCCCCAGACACTCTCCTTCCCATCTATGCCCTAAAATCAGCCCATTCCACCCCGTATACATCCGAAGACATATTTATGAAAAAAAAAACAGTGTTTTTATATAATGGCACTACTTGCGAGGTCAATGAAAAGAGGTAAAATTAGTAACCTGTGATACGCTTATACTTTCTTAAAAAAAAATAAGGCTTACAAACTCAAACATGTATTTTAATTTCCTTTTTATTTTAATTTGATTATCGTTTACTCCTTTATTTTCTATAATTATATCTTTCATTTTAAACTCGTTATTATTATTATTGAGCACGTAGGAAATTGAAATCACGCCGCCGCCGCCCCCCCCCCCCCCTCTCCAATGAAAGGCCTTATTTTGTTCTTTTAAAGCTTTAATTTTAAATCTGAAAAAATGTTGGATCCTTCCCTCAACAGTGCTGCCATCATTTGTTTCGCATCACTCTCATGGGTAATATAAAGATTAGCGTTAATTGCGCTTTGATTGAATTCAGTCTAAAGCAACACCGGAGAAAATCCACAGAATTTCTTCCCATGTTATCACAATTTTGTGAATTCGGCACCTTAAATATCCGTTAACTACAGTTTACAATCGTAAACTATAATTAACATTCGTTAACTATAGTTAAGAGTTGTAAACCATAGTTTACAAATTGTGAAACCGTATTTATTAGATAAACTATGTTTTGCAATTGCTAATGATTGTTTTCGGTGCTAATTATAGTTTACGCTAGTGAAACATAGATTATCGTGTTAACTATGGTTTACAGATGTGAAATATAGATTAACGTCGTTAACTATAGTTTACAATCCGTAAACTATAGTTTACAGCCGATAAACCTAGTTTATCGACTGTGAAACTAGGTTTTGCTCATTTTTGTGAATTTGGCGTGCCATAGATGTCTCCAGGTTGTATGCCAAAAGTGCACCCCTCAATTTCTGATTATAACCAAATTTATTCCCTATACATCATGTATCTTCGATTTATTTCACTTGATTGAAATGATACCTTACGCCTGGCACATATGCAATTGAAATTCTATTGGCTGTATAAAAGAATTCAACTAAGAGTAGGTAATTATTTTTAAAAAAATCTCCTAAAAACTATCTTTCAAAAAGTTTTTTCGGTCGACATGACCTTTAAATGTTCCAGAGGTATACTTGAGCATAATGCCTCAGAAATAAACAATTACGAAAAAATATCTACACAGATGAAAACTGGAAAAAGCCCTCTGTATAGGCTTCTGTAATTTCAACTGCTATATGCAGACCGACATTAAATAGGGTGGAGTAAATGGAAACATAATGTTTCGCTTTATCTGATACCTGACCAGGTATTTCTGTAATTACCTGCAGATAACCTTACACCATTCAGACCCCAATTCTCACCACTGATATTGATATAATACACAATCGCCGGTCTATACAAATAACGTTTTTCTCCCCTTTTCGACAAAACACCACACCTTTTTTTAAATTACGATCTTTAGAAGATAGTATAAAAAGAACCTTATTTCTAGTATTTTGCTCATTTCTAATATTTTGAAAATACCTGCTTAATTCACATGAAAATTTGTATAAATATCTTTGCTCTTTTTTTTTTTTTTTTTTTTTTTTTACCAATGCCGAGCTTTGTCACAATGTCCTCTATATGGCAAGATCGACATATCGATTGATCAATAGAGAGAGAGAGAGACTTTTAAGGTCAGACGACATGTTCCTCAAATATATATTTGTAATTGAAGTATTGCTACTTGAACACGTTTCCTCGCAATTGAGGTACATTACCAGGCATTTCTGTACATTCCAAAGGAGGGTATTTCCTACATAATCCGATAGGAATGCCTTGAATTTCTTATATCATAATTTTTTGCTTATATATATAAATTTGATATATCATGAAGAGATATAAAAACAGATAATCGATGAGCGTGTCGTCAGACCTTTTAACAAGAATCTACGTAAAGATTGTATATATATACAAGGTATACTTCGTACCAGTGTCATAACAAATTCAATGTAAAATATTTTTTTATTTCTTAAAATTAAAGTCAATTGAGACGTTAGAACTGGGTCAAAATAACCTAAACAATATACATTATCGACTCACTTGGGTATTTCTTATACGAGCTTTACGTGCCTTACTAACACACTGCTGCTCGATCCAGGAGGGGCATCAAATCCCCTCAAACATTGCGTGTACCCTTCTCAAGACTTTATGCTCTTTTTCAACCAAGTTAATGAACTGAAAGGGGTTGTCTTTGTGCATTATGCACAGTAAATTCACATAAATACCAGACAGCATGGTCTGGGCAATTTGGCATGCAATATTATACAAATATACAAGTGATCATACTTTTGAGAACATTTTAGATTACCATAATTATCACCTTCCATTCTGCCGGTGAAAGGAGAGGGTTGTTTTTTTCTTTATTGAAAAAAAATTATAGATAACTGGTTCGAGGGAAAAAATACAATCTGTTGCAAGTGTTTAGGCTGCAAACACAGGTGCCTTTAGACGATGTAATCTGCCATCAGAACACAGTGTTATATGTCTATAATAGCTCCAATTTAGCACCAGTAATATACACATCTTCAAGAAACGATACAACTGGTAAAAACGCATAAGACAACCTTTAAATGCCCCAGTTAATTTTTGTTCCCAGTCAACTGTTGAACTGCTCAATGGTTTGTTAAATCTTTCTTCTATGGTATGTAGCTCTTTTGTGAATGGTTTGGTCCACAGTTCCGTCAAGATCACGTGACTAATATGCATATTATCATATCTCACATGTAACAAGCGTGAAATCTTAAAAAGAGTGCACAGCTTCTTCGCATTATACTGGATTATAGTTAATTATTTCAATGGATAATTAAGAAACAATGGTGTAACATCTTTCTCTACCTAACTTTGGGATTATACTGTGTTTTGGGGTCAAATCGTTTTAGTAAACCTTTTTGTTCATACTTGGAATATGCGCTAAAATGACATTGCTAGTCTTCCTAAGTTTGGCTGGTTTTTGTACAGGTAAGTATTAAAACAGTGACAAAAATGAATAATGATAGAAAAATTCAAAGTCATGAATTATGGAGGCACAATATCGTATTCATTGTTTTAAGTTAATCTGACATTTACACTTCTGTTAATTAAGGGACTGGAAAATCGGTATACATATGACCCATTGATTTTAATTATTTTCACAATGCAAGTGGCAATTTCCCACATGTCTTTTCTTCGTTAAGCGTAATTAACTACACTAATTAAAGAATACATGTATGTGCATGAACCTTCCCTGCATTTGACAAGATTTATGTTAAAACTTTGTTAACTGTGAGCAAGGCTTCTTCATTTGTAGACAGACCCCAGGCTTTTAGCAAGTAAATGGTTTGAAAAGAACTTAAAAAGAAAGAAAAAAATAAACACTTAAGTTGACAAGGAATCCTTTGACTCCATTATAAAAAAGACTAACAAATCGTAGACGCCGTGGAATGTGGGTAAAAAAGTCGGAGATATAAGATCCGGTATCGAATGAAGACGCCTTCTTAAGACAGAGGGCATTTATAGGAAAATGTTTTAATGATTCCAAATGTCGAAAATATTATTTGCAGTTTACATGTTGAAGTGTATTTTACACATCATTTCTATTTCTGAACCACGTACGTCAAGATGTCTACTGGTTATTAAACTGTTTTTCTTGATTTGTGTTATTTATAGTTTATTTAATACATATATAATATAAATAATGAATTTAAAAAATTGAAATAAGGAATTGTGTAAGGTACGATGCCTCAGCGGTACAATCCTATCCCCAAAACTGCAACGACCCCAGAAAACACGAGAAAATTTACGCAGCGGTAATCAAAGAATAATGGATTCTAGATGTACAGCGCTAATTGTCGGAATGCAAGGCATAAAACTCTCTACTCGTGCTTTCTTCTTCCTCATTAGCACGGAAAATAGCTTATTTTTAAAACATAACCAGTATTCTTAGATTAACCCGTTATCTTGTGCTTCAGAACGCTAAAAGAGGTTACGGCGGAGAGCAAAAATAAGCTAAAACACCTGGAAAATATACTCAAGAATCAAAAATAAAAATAGAGGTGTCAAAAAGTAGAAATGCACCACCCACCGTATTAAGGTATGAGAAATATTAGGTTTCTCTGGTTTTGATTATCTAAGGCAGGGGAAGAAAGAGCAAAGACTTTGGAAGAAATTCAAATCAATTAAAAAGTCAAAATTCGAACCAATGAAAATGTACATTTAAAGGAATTTAGTTTTACGATAAATTCTTAAAAAATTTTCCAAATGAAAAATTCTGAAACCTTCTCTGTAACTTACAAGTACACGTACCTTTGTCTTTGAAGGAAAAAAATCATCATATTAAAAAAAAAGAAGGAAGCAATAAAAAAATATTAGGCTGGTACTAATGTGGACTAAAATTCTTGTTTTTATGGCCCATATTTACATTAATTAAATCCCACTCCTAAAACAACAGTCTTATTGTTAGAATGACCCGTTCTGGTGCAGTCACTCCGTTCTTTTTGTACGTTCCCTCTGCCTTAACCGACCAGACACAATACACACGGAAATAAAAAATGACAGCTTATTTGAAATTCGTTACATGGCCTGATACCCCGTTTTGACCGTGGACCTGCATACAATTTATCAGATTTTTTAAAAGTTAGAATTGCTGATTTAGTACTTCATGCGATACCTCCACTTGGGCAATATGGCATACCAAATGATAGGATAGCATAAAATCGGATTGTCATACGAGAGCCAGATAACATCATTGTGTCAATTTAATGTCGGTTTTCTAAACCGAGATGCCAATAAAACTTTAATTTTAAATGCGATATCAAACCTTTATCAAAGATTGACGTTTCAATTCTCTGTGCATAGCGAAGGCAATATCTTTGATAAGTTGAAGCAACGAACATGTAACAAAAGTTCGATATATCAAAACTAAAAACAGGGACACCACAGTGGAGGGCTGAGCTAGAAATCTCTGTTTTCATAAATAAAATAAAGTATAGGACTACTTACTATCTTATCAAGAATAGGATTTTACTTTGAATTACTTTATCAAATCTTAATTTGAAATAAAGATACTAATTTCCCCGCGAGACAAACTTTTGAAATGCTATATTTTTGAACGACAAATTCTTACACTGAAACTACAACTGAGGTGTACATGTAGCTCTCTCTATAAAATTCAGCATATCCTGCTTAACAAAAAGTAAATGTCTTTGACAGCGATTCCCGTGACATTAAACATTTTCCAAATAAAACTTCTTTAGTACATGTATCAGACTGATCATATAACATTTTGTAAATTCCTGTACGACAAATTTATTTTTTGGACAAAAAAATCTTTGTGACCTTGATCTTTTTTTTAAGTGACCTTGGCTGAGGATAAACCGTGTGGACATTTATAACCTCTCTACAGCGAGTGACTCTCTGACAACCCTGTATTAAAATAAATCCATGTCTCTCTGACAACCCTGTATTAAAAACAAAATAAGTCCATGTCTTTCTGACAACCCTGCATGTACAAAAATAAGTCCATGTTTTTCTTACAAACATCCATGGCTTTCTGACAACACTGTATAAAACAAAATAAGTCCATGGTTTTCTGACAACCCTGTATAAAAACAAAATAAGTCCATGGCTTTCTGACAACCCTGTATAACAACAAAATAAGTCCATGGCTTTCTGACAACCCTGTATTAAAAACAAAATAAGTCCATGGCTTTCTGACAACCCTGTATAAAAACAAAATAAGTCCATGACTTTCTGACAACCCTGTTTTAAAAACAAAATAAGTCCATTGCTTTCCGAAACCCTGTACAAAAAGATGAGTCCAAGAAGAGATTTTTAATATTCATCCTGTGATCACGATCTTTCCTAAACGATTTTGCTCCTGTGTCACATCTCATCAACGTTTCAGTCAATAAAGCCATGTATCTAAAGCTGAAATAATGGATTTAGAACTTTTGATCCTAATTTTATGAATTAATATTAAAACAACAGTTCCCTACTGCTTAGATCTAATGCAAGAACAAAAGTGGTTCGAACGGGGCAAGGCTACTCTCAGCCTTCAATAACTTAATAAAATGGATTCGCCATTCTTACAGGAAGAAAAGTAACTAACATACACAGGTAATAAAAAATGTGACATTAAATAGCTATTTACGACGTGGATAATGAACAAATTTCTTCAAAATAAGTCGGTAAATCACTAACAGTGCTGGCTCCCAGGTGTATACAGTGCTTACGGGGGTAAACATTCCTATTGTCGCATCATTAACCATCAGAGGCCAAGATCCAAAGATGCACAACTAATGAAATTCTTTCATATGAAAATTTTTAAAGGGCCATTAAAACGAACATGTTTCAACGTTATTTGTCAAATTTGAGACAAAATATATATTATTAAAGTTTTATTATGAACACGCCATCTGCAATTTTAAAATCCATTAGTAACTTTCTTCCAATAAAGACAAACCACCCAGAAAAAATAACCGGACTTAAAAACCAGCTTATGTTAACAAAATAATTCTTCGTCAAGGTTAGACTTGTAAAAAAGAAATTCTATCAAAGGTTCCGCAAAACTAACATTTACCTACGTACAAGAAAACAAAAGCAGAATGGCTAAACAAATTTAATCCTTGAGATCTGTTTTTTCTATGAAGGTTTGTAGACTTTTGCTAAGAGCAAACAGAGAGATGTATCATTTCAACAATCCCTTAATATAACACCAGATACTACAAGTAATTCTGTCTTTAGGCAAAGATTTCTCTGGTGTTTTTATACAGAAACTCTCACGATACACGAGTTCTACGGAAACATTGACGCCGTTTTCGAAAAGTCATGAAAATATTAGTTTGTAGAACACGGCAAAAAATAAGTTTCTGTCAGGGTAGGTTACACAACAGTCCCATCGGCCACAGCTCTAAAAATCATAAATATGTGATTCAATGTATCAATTTTTTTAACCTTACGTGCTGAAAACAATTTGGTACTAGCGGTTCAATATCCTCTAAGAAATTTCTGTACTTTTGCCCATATACAAGAAAAGAAGATGCGATGTTATCGGCGAAAACAATTAACCCTAACAAAGCAAACCGCAGCGGAGAAGTCCAAAACTGTATAATGTCCCCCCAAGATCTCATTTCAAGTCAAGGAGTTCATAATGAGAAATGGCAAAAAAGATAGCTATACATCGAGATAAGATTGTTGCATAAGAAATGCAAATGGTTTTCAGAATACGCCAGGTTTTGTCTCTGAAGTTTCGCGTTACTACAGATCTTTATTTAATGCATTTCTTCTGTCAAGTTCCACACCAGCCATAACAATGGCCGCCAGCCAGGGGTAGAAGAGATGTATTTAGACCCGCTGAAATATCTGACATGTTTCTCTTGAATTAAGTGTCGGGTTCGTCTCGTTAGTGATAGACGTTTTTAAAAAAAAGCCAGTCTGCACTATAGGACAACTGAAAGTCAATGCTTGATATAAAGTCCAATCGCCAGGGAGGTCGACACACAACTGTATCATTTCTGTCGCCAGGGAATTAGAAATATAACGCCGTATCATGAGTGGCTTGTTTGTCACTTTGTATGGTCGTGAATTACAATCCAAAAAGTACACTATACTTAAAATTGGCTAAAAAGTTCCAGAAGATTGTTCACCTATATATACAGTTATATTATTGTAAAATTTTGAATTTAGTGGGTGGAAGTAAATAATTTCTTTTTTTAAATTCACAACATTACAATTTGTCAAAATATGTATTTATATCCACCCAGTAAATCAAAATTTACAACATGGTCACTATATAGCCGTAAAAATTAAGCAGGATAGAAATAAGGCGTTTTACTTGACCCATGTCAAAAGTTTTTATACTGTTTAAAAATTGTCAATGACATTTTAGCAAATCAAAGTACCTTTCTTATAAATTGAAACCGATTTATTCATCTACAAGTCCCTAACCTTAGCAATGTAAAATTACGGAGGCATTTTCGAGACTAAAATCTTTATTTTTCTTTCAGCCGCGACTGTACCCAGTGCCGATTTTGACGGATTGTTTATGAAGTATATGACAGACAATGGCTACAAAGGGGGACAGGTGGGGGTGATGATCGAGGACAGATTAGCATTTGCTAAAGGTTACGGCAAAAACCACGAGCATCAAGATATTTACGTCCACAACCTCATTCCGGTCGGCTCCTTCTCCAAGGCATTTACGGCAGTGACTATTTTAAAGCTAGTGGAGGACGGATTGTTGGATATTAATGCTAAGGTTTTTGGAAATGATGGACTGCTCCACGTGATCAAACCTTGGAACAAGACTACGGTGGACCGGCGGATCTATGACATTACCGTGGACCACCTACTCCGACACACTGGGGGATGGGACTATACCAAGTCAAAACTGATGGAACCGCTTCTGAATTCTGCCCTTATAGCAAACGGCTACAACGTTGAAAACATCTCTGCGGAGATGAAACTTCCGGAACTCACGACACCGATCGATGTTATTCGATTTATGATGTCCAAACCCCTTGATTTCACCCCTGGGACACGCTCAGCTGTGTCAAACCTTGGATATGCCATTCTCGGACAAATCATCGAAATGATAACAGATTTTGATTATGACGAATATGTCAAAAAGCACGTAATGATTCCCTGTGGAATGATGTACACTAAAATTGGTCGTCCACATGTCTTTACAAAGACCCGTGACACCAACGAACCACTTATGAGTGATGTCACAAAAGTGAGCCCCGAGTTCGTTGGACCCGCACTGGGATGGGAATCTAATGTGTACGACATCATGAGATTTTCTTCTTGTTTGGATGGGTCTGGGGACTTCAGACTTTTGTCCGATAAATCTCTCAAGTCCTTAATAGCAAAACCTTCTGCAGCCCCAGTTCAACACAGCAACACCTGGATCGGGGCTGCTTTCAACGTTAACAGCCACGGCGCTATCTGGATGGAGGGGGAATTCTTCACAGACGATTTGTTGTTCTTCCATCATGGACCTCTAGTCAGAGATCCACAGCAGCAGACTGCTGCTACAGCGACCCCTACAGCGTATGCTGCCTTCTTCACAGGCCAGATGTTCACACCTTTAAAAAGCGGAATCCATGGTCTTGTAAAAGCAGAGAAAGCATGGCCCGTCGGAAATAGGTTTCTTGATGACGTTGCTGACGTTAAAACAAAATACGGCAAAATCGAACAAGTCATAAAATATAAACTGGAAGAACACCACCTCCAAGGTTATGCCCGCGCTTTGACCCTCCTTCGTTACGACATCAAGTGGATAAATGGTTTTTCATATCTTAAGAAAACCTACTTTGTCGTAATTGCTCAAAAATCAGAAAAACCACTCTTCGATAAAGTTATAATTACCCCAGGGCTGACCGAATCAACCTTAACCCAACATAAGTTGCACCTTGAAAAATCAGGTTTCAACTTAACATACATGCAGAACTACATGTCCCATTCCCATCGTGGTTCTGTTTTCTTGGCTATCTTTCGGAAGAATTCCTACAAAAATTCGACAGTCATACGATACGGTCTTCAACATTATACACAGTCGTACAAAAAATTGATCGAGCTTTACTCCGAGCAAGGATACATTCCAACATCGCAGTCGTTGATGTATAATGGCGTAGATGGCCTTGTAAGCTTTATTCTTCAAGAGGACGAGAACAGGAAGACTCAGAAAGATTACCGATCTTATGAAGACATCCCGCAGTCAAGACTGTATAAACTGGTCACCAGAAACGCACGGTACAAAAGGAAACTAGTTTACTTGGACGAAGCAGATTATTTCGGAAAACCCCAATTTTCAGCAGTATTTGTTAATGATAAAGTTAATTCGATGCTCTTCAACTCTAAAGTATCTGTAAAAGACATGACAAAACTTATACAGCGAGAACAAATGTACGGAAAATTGCCTCGTATTATTGTCGCCTATGGTGACAAAGGGTCCCTGTGGTATGCTGTGTTTCTTGAGAAATGAACCAGATATAAAACTTGACTGGTGACAATACCTAAAACAGTGGTAGTTTTTAAGACTGGTTCTGTAGTGAATTGTGCAACATTCTTGCTACAAAATGAAAAAAATCTTGATATTATTGTAAATAAGATGGAATCAAAGCACAGCGTGATACTAATAATCGGCGGACTTATTAGTTACCCATACACCATTTTGTTTAGGTAGCAAAGGTCTGACCCAATGGAACTAAGTTGGCAACAGTTAGCCCAACTATAGGCTACATAATCCGCCCTTTCATAGAAGAATAGGCACTCTTTCCAACTTTAGGCTTAAACCTACAGCCTAAGGGAAAACATACAATAAAACTACAATTCGTTTTTTTTAATGTCAAGCTACTTAGCCTGAAAATGGTGTGTGTTTTTTATTATATATTTATTGATACTGATTGACAGATGACTTTTTAAATGCTTAATAAAACATTTCTTGTTTCGCCTGTCAAAAAAATTAACTATATATAAAGACAATGTAGTTATATACAGCGACCTACATTCATTATCCAGCTGAATATGTTTTATTGAAATTTGAGCATTGATTTGTAATTTAATTTTTAATGTATTTGTAAAGGCGATAATTCACAGACGCAGCTTCTTTTGTATCTCTGTTTAGTTTAATATACATGTGTTACAGAAAAATGTAATAAATCTTTTCAAAAAAAAAATGTGATATAACCCATACATTGTTGCACGGGAAGTTCTAAACGTTGGCTAACGCTAAAGATTTATTGCACGAGAAGGTCTTAACGTAAGATAACTCCAGGGATTATTGCATGGGAAGTTCTTAACGTAGGCTAAAACCAAAGATTATTGCATAGAAAGTCCTTAAAGTAGGATAATCCTGATGATTGTTACTCGAGTTGTTAATGCTGAATGTATTCTAACGCCAAAGATTGTTGCACGGGAAGCTGTAAACGTAAGCTAACCCTAATGATTGTTGCACGGGAAGCTGTAAACGTAAGCTAACCCTAATGATTGTTGAACGGGAAGTTGTAAACGTAAGCTAACCCTAATGATTGTTGAACGGGAAGTTCTAAACGTAAGCTAACCCTAATGATTGTTGCACGGGATGTTCTGAACGAATGCTCACTCCAAAGATTGTCGCATGAGGAATTATAAACGCAAGCTATCCCTATGAGTACTGCACGGGAATTTCTGAACGAATGCTAAATCCAAAGATTGTTGCACGGAAAGTTCTTTACGCAAGGTAACCCCAAAAACTGTTGCACGGGAAATTCTTAAGGTACCTAACCCCAAAGACTGTTGCAATATCAATTACTATTCATCAACTTCTTACACACTTCGTTTGTTTGTTTGTTTGTATGTTGTTTAACGTCCCTCTCGAGAATTTTTCACTCATATGGAGACGCCACCACTTGCTGCAAATTTTGTCCTATACTCGGCACTTACGGCCGTTGAGCAGTGAGGGATCTTTTTCGTGCCAGCACCTACTGCGACACGGGACCTCGGTTTATACCGTCTCATCCTAAGGACCGGTCTCCACGTCCCACAGTGGGAAACACTCTTTGTTAATTGTCTCTTAAATATGTCTTTCTAAATTTTGTGAACTTTTTAGAAACAATAAACCGACGAACTGAACCAAATTGTCGGCCATATCGACCTTGAGCGTTTGTTCTTTCAAGCCAACAATTTTCGTCTTCAAATTGAGCAGTTCTAAATATTAATAATATAATTAGTTTCCATTAATCAAACGCCCGTCATGTTAACAATGGCGCCAAAGTTCACGATACCTTGTACCATACCGAGAGGTTTCTCTCACATGTCACAGAAGACGGCTCTGGTTCCCATTATTTTCTTTTCATTGCTTACAAAACTGGTGAAAAGAGGAAAAAAAGAAAACGACCCCCAGCACAGGGATAATTCAATACGACAAAAATAACAAGGAAACAAAACACAGTTTTTGCTTCATTAAGTAAGGATAGTGTTTCCACTGCTCTGTGTGGCTTCCATCCTCCAAGTCAGAAATGTTCATTAGAAATTAATCTTGTGGCTGTATTAATAACAATATGTGTCTATTTCTGTAATGTTTATTTTAAAGTTTCAGTTCGTTGTTTCATAATTATTATTAATTACATTTAATTATTTTTGTTCCTACTAAATCGCAGAAAGCCGAGACGACGAGATTTGTGATATAGCCCTCCTTTATTCTAATGATAGAAATAATTTCCCGTGATTTTCCTACAACAGTTTTTCTCTTCAGTGGAGAAAACCCATGTTTCCCTGTGATTTACTGTAAGAGGCACAGCATGGTAGACGAAGCAGGCAAAGAACAGCCAACGAAATATGAAATCAAGTTAACCAAATATAATACACCCCTCCGACGACACAGTGAAATGACCAAAACAAACATAACATTATGAATTTAAATTTTAGGTTTGTTGGTCAAATCTTCAGACCTATTTTTTTTCTAGAGGTTTTGCTCAAAAGAAACATTGTTCACGTTGATATTGTTTTGGAGCACTGACAAGTTTAACACTCAAACTTAGGCGTGACTCAGTTAAAGAACGTAACAGTGCATACTTTGTTACACTTTTATTTAACATAAAGGTATAAAAAGTGGCAGATAGCATACAATACTGTAATTGAAAATCTCTCTCTCTCTCTCTCTCTCGAGAGAGAGAGAGAGAGAGAGAGAGAGAGAGAGAGAGAAATAGACATCTACAATTTGCATGGCCGTAGAAACCGGGGGGGGGGGGGGGGTGCCTCCAATAATTTTGCAGATATATACATTTAATGCTATAGAAAACATAGGTACTATATGCTTGTGCCCCCTCAATAAAAACATCTGATGCCCTTTTTTTTGGCTTGCTTCCTACGGGCCTGATCTGTCACTGAATTTGAATTAAAAATACATGCACCTGACCTTCAGTATAATACTTGTGGAGAGTAATGGTGGTTTTAATGTAAGGTGCTCATGCGCACTGTTTATAAGGTTTATAAGGTGCACATATAAAAAACTTCAGGTAAACTTTTACTGCATTGATTTTTGTACTTCAGCCAAAATCCCTGTTTAGACACATGCCCTCCTCTGCAGCAACATAAAATACAGGTTTCTGTAATTAGCTTGGAATTTGTTACGTGACAGTGTTACTAACTCCTAATATTTTCATTTCTCATTAGGAAGTCCAGACATCAAACACATAAACATCATCCCTAAAATCAAAATTATTGACAATCTTATGACAGTTGATGTCTTCATTTCTTCCTTTGTCACATAAATGTAGGAATTGATATTCACTGTGTTTTATCCCCTAGGTTTAAAACAGCATTATGGATATTCATAAGTTACTGCCACTAATGTACGATATGGCCTCATTTTCTGTCTGGTGTTCTGATTTTATCATAGAAGGATGACATTCTAACTTCAAAGGTATTCATTTTATCACATATGCATAATTAGTGATTTATGAAAGAGACACACTGGAACATCTTTGTCAGTCTAAGTGTGGAATTAGGAGATCTTTTTAAAAACACTTTTTTCAAAGCTAAAATCCTCACTATCATGAATTCCACCTGAAGAGCCTTTTTTCTAAAACAAAATGGACAGAAGTGAAAGTGCACTATTTAAACCTGAAGCACTCGTTGAATTTGCACAAACCTTGGAGTCTCCTTCCTTCTGAATGCATTATGGAGAGGTAACACAGTACAGATCATGTGGATTTTCTCTACATACTAGAAGGAAGTTTCAATTAAAACTTACTCTACCTTTCTTGTTAATTAAGAATTAAATTATCTAAAGAGCATTTTCTCTCATCTGTTACAACATTAACAAAGAGGAGAATGCAGTGGTGGATCCAGGACTCTTGAAGGGGGGGGGGGGGGGGGGGGCAGACTAAAGTCTTATGGTCACCTTAAGACCACCAGTGGCTCCAGGGCATTATCCTGGTGGAAGCCCAGAGGTCAAAAACCCTGGAAGCTCATGTTTTTTGGGGTTTTTTTTTTAACTTTTTTTAAGTTATACTTTTGGTAAAATAAAAGCAAAAACTGACATTTTAAAAATTTTACTAGTATGTATATTTTTGGTCAGAAAAAAAAAGGTTTGAGAGTGGGCCTCCTCTAAATCTGCCAAAGACATACTGAGAAATTGACAAAAGTATGTATCAAAATCAGGTAGGTATTGTATTATACATTCAAGAAATGGTTAAAAAAAAGGGGGAAAAAAAGATCAAGCTGATAGAATTTCCAAATACACCATCAAGTAACCCAAGTTACATGAGTAAAGTCCATTGGCAAGGCAAAGTGTGAGAGAATTGTATAAAACTAACATTTACTTGTTTATTAAGGGTTTCTTGTGTCAATCGTTCCGTAAATAAGTTCCCACAAATACGTACATAGATATCTAGTCAAAGCACCCTTGTGGAACTCAAATCCACATCAAGGGGAAATATTTCTACAGGTTCATTCAGATGAACTTTTGTCAATGCTACTTCTGATGGAGAATAATTGGAAGATGACTCATTTTGTCACCTGAACAATCAAATACACATTATACACCATACCTGTGTTTTAATGTGTTTTAACACTTGAGTTTTACAACAAGAATTCTATGAAGACGGGACGGACTGAATAACTTTTACTATGTCTCGAGATTAAACTTAAAATTTTACTTCACTTTAACAAAATGAACACATTATTCACAGCCCTCGTTGTATGAACCATCAAGTTGATATCAATTTTGGCAAACCATTGCAACTTTGCTTGAGAGACGTCTATTTATGCAGAAAGGTGTGTTTAAAGGTGATCTGAGTTATAAATACCAATGACAAAAGTGCAAATGAGTCTCTATTGTAACCAATGCTAGAGGTGAAAAATGGCTGATAAATTCACAGTTTCTATAGAATGAACACTGTAAATCTAGCCACCCTGACTGAGTTATCAATGGATATTCCCTATTTTATGTGCCAGGCTTTATTATAAACTCAGATAATTTTCAATGAACTTTTACAATATACATTGGCATCTTAAAGCTAAAAACCTGTTTACATTTAAATTAATTAACATATAAATAAACAACCAACATGATCAACCACGTACATATATTAATGCCCCCCCCCCCAATCGAAGACTCGGGGGTATATAGTTTTTGCCCTGTCCGTCTGTCTGTCTGTTTATCTGTTTGTCCTTTTGTCTGCAAAAACTTTAACATTGCCCACAACTTAAGGTTGGTTGGAACTATGGCTGTCATATTTCACAAGTGTGTTCCTTGTGACAAGACCTTCCTCTGGGTACCAACATATTTGACCTCTTGACCTTGAAGTTTGACCTACTTCTGCAAAAAATTACTCAACTTTAACCTTGGGCATAACTTTTGAATGGTTGGTGCTAGGGCTTTCATATTTCACATGTATATTCATTTTGACAAGACCTTTCCATAAGTGTAAATATTCTTGACCTTTTGACCTTGACCTTAGAGTTTGACCCACTTTTAAAAAAACTTTAACCTTGGCTATAACTTTTGAACAGTTAGCTCTAGGGCTTTCAATTTTCACAGGTATATTTATTTTGTGACAAGATCTTCCATTGGATACCGACAATTTTGACCTTTTGACCTTGACCTTGGAGTTTGACCCACTTTTAGAAAACATTAACCTTGACCATAACTTTTGATTGGTTAAACCTATGGCTTTCATATTTCACATGTGTATTCCTTGTAACAAGATCTTACTCTGGGTATCAACATATTTGACCTCTTGACATTGACCTTGGCATTTGACCCACTTTTGCAAAAAAAAACCCAACTTTAACCTTGGTCATAACTTTTGAATGGTTGCTGTTAAGGCTTTCATATTTCAAATGTGTTTTCATCGTGACAAGATCTTTCCATAGGTGTAAATATTTTTGACCTTTTGATCTTGACCTTAGAGATTGACCCGCTTTCAAAAAACTTTAACCTAGGCCTTACTTTTTGAACAGTTAGTACTAAGGCTTTCAATTTTTACAGGTATATCCATTGAAACAAGTTCTTTCTTTGGGCATTTTTGATCTCTTGAACTTGACCTTTGAATTTGACTTGCATTAGAGAAACTTTAATTTTCACCATACTGCCATATGGGGGCATCAGTGTTTCACAAACAAATCTTGTTTATAATTTGTAAGAAATGTCTGACTTAGGGGAAGCAGTGATGATTTGCTTCCATCGATCTTCAACTAAATACAAATCAATGTAAAGTAAAATACAAGAAAAATTTCTAATTTCTTTTCAATAAAAATATGTGTGACTTACACTTTATAATAACTCTAATTATATATAATAATTCTAACTATTTATAGTACGTTTCAAAAATTAATTGATTAGAAATTCATATTTTCAGCTTTCCATAAAGTCATATCAGTAACCTTTTTAAATACTGGTAATGGATGCAATTTTTATTCTGGGTTGACTTTGTCATGTGAATATGTAGAATTCATTTTATTAAAGATGTACATGTAATCATGGTAATATCATGAACAATAGTCCCACCTTCCTTTCACACACATATTCATTATATTGACCTTTGCACCTATGCATATGACAACCTGAAGATAACAGCAGTCTTGTAAACAATGACATTCATCAATTCCTTCACAATACACCGAGGAAACTGAGGATCTTTTAGAAACTTCATAATATTTATAAGTTGTATTATTAGTAAAAAGCCAAACTTTTACTGACACAAGGATTAAAGACACCAGCCAAGTTCTTGCTTCAGTCTTGGGAACAACGGAGTTATCTTTCTTGCTTTTTACATTACAGATATACCAAAAAGAAAAAGAAATTCTTTTTCATTTTTGTATATAGTATTTTCATTTGCAAATATTTTCCTTAGATGAACATATTAAAGAGCAAATATATTCTTTTCTGTGTGAACTCATTGGGAGGGGGTTGGGGTGGGGGTTAAAGAGGTTAAAGTGTGACCAAATTACACAGCACAATGATTTTCTGTCACAGTGGAACTCGGTCTTCTGAACCTCTAACTTGACAGTGACAGAGATAAAATAACTGATACGTTTAGATTTTTTTTTCAAATGCCTATTAAATGTTCCTTTGTTGATATGAATGCTTGAATAAATCACTAAAAAAAGGTGCCTACCCTTTTTTTAATTGAAATTCCTTTGAAGGGGAACTGAAACAAACACTTGCTAAAATACCAATTGCAGTAAAGACAGATTGAAATCTCATTTCAGTTTCATATTTCATTATACCTTAGAGGGTTGGGGAACCATATATCTAGTATATGTATATTTCTGAGGATGCTACCATATAAATATCCTAATCACGACCTTGCCGTTTTTGAGAAATAGAATTTGAAAGGTTTATACTAAGTATTCCTTTGTAAAACTTTGATACCCCATAGTGGCCCCATCCTATCCCCAGGGGTCATGATTTGAATGAACTTGAATCTGCACTATGTCAGGAAGCTTTCACATAAGTTTCATTTTTTCTGGAGAAGATTTTTAGATAACCCCACCTAATTTTCACTATTTCTTAATTAACTCTCCTTGGAAGAGGGTGTGGCCCTTCATTTGAGCAAACTTGAATCTCCTTTACCCAAGGATACTCTGTGCCAAGTTTGGTTGAAATTGGCCCAGTGGTTCTGGAGAAGAAGATGAAAATGTGAAAAGTTTACAACAACGACAACAACTATGATGACAAGAAAGACAGACAACAGACAAATTTCTATCAGAAAAGCTCACTTGAGCCTTTGGCCCATGTTAGCTGATAATGAAATTAATATTTACTTAACATTGAAATACAGAACCAATAAAGAGCAAGTTTTAATAACAATGCTCACAGTCATAGGTGGCGCAGTGGTTTGTATATTTAAGCTGTGTGAATAACATGTATGAGTTTTGTATATGTTTTTAATACCCATGTTTTCTCCCCATTACTCCAAACATTTAAATGAGAATGATTGCAACAGAAGCCCAAGGAACAAAACCGAGAGAAATCGAAAGATTTTCCGCATTTTACCTATTTACTTGATGTTGGGTAAAGTTATTAAATCCACGAGGTAATTCTTGAGAAAAACAGCTGAGACATTTGGTAAAAAGAGGAAATAAAAAATATGTTAGGGTACCCATGTTTAAGATGCTCTCTTTTTTTTAATTTTCAAGATAAACCAAAAGCTTTTGGTGTTTTGTAATCAGGAATAATAGGCAATTCTAAATATATAATTTATTTCAAGATATTTAAAGGTGCTTAGACACAGATTTGAACTTAATATTTTCTCAAATTTTCTGTATAATATCATGACTTATAAATTGCAATAGCATTTTACACAAAAATATAATCAAAAACTTATTTTATCTGGAAATTATTGGAACTACGAACTCCGGGACGCATTTGATTAACACATCTTTGCACTTACACAAATTTTAACTTCATTCTTAATATTTAAGAAAAGAAGCGATTTTGTTATGCATTAATGAAAAATATTACATCTATAATCCAAAAAATTCAGAGTAGAAAAGTTCAAAAGCAAAACCAACTCACCAGTATTGTCAGTCCGTGCTCTGTGGTGTGTACAGAGTTTAACAAATTGAACACACCCGTGAAACGTAAACTGTTTTTGTAAACAGGGCAGGAGCTCTGTTATTGTTAATGTTTACAATTCACTGGGTGTGTTCAATTGTTAAACTCTGCATACACCACTGAGCACGGACTTACAATACTGTGAGTGGGTTTTGCTTTCGAACATTTCTACTCTGAATTTTCTGGATTATAGTTTTAATATTTTTTATTAATACACAACAAAATTGCCACTTTTCTTAAGTTAGTATTAAGAATAAAATTAAAATATGTGACAGCGCAAGGATGTGTCAATCCTACTCGTCCAGAAATTCGCAGTTTTAAGAACTTTGAGATGAAATAAGATTTTAATTATATTTTAGTATGAAATGCTATAGCAACATATAAGACATGAAATTATACAGAAAAATTGAGAAAATATTAACTTTTAATGATAATGCTGGGACTGTCACATACTTTCGTACATAAACATGTCCATGGCGGATTTGCATAGTTCTGATATTAATGTCTCTGATTTCACCAAAAAACATACCATATACATAACAAACAAAGCATTTTTTTTTTTGATTTACCAAATAAGATGTAGTACAGAGTTAAAATTATCAAAGTTTTATTATATAGAACTAATAACACTTTGATGAGTGTCTAATCATAGAATATTATCCCTTACCTTGTGTTTAAAGCAGTATTGTTTTTGTATAGGCCTAACAACCTCAGCTTACTCTCTGTTTTAGTTTAATTCGAGTCCCACGTGTGTCGCGTGGACTCAGGAGTGACAGGTCCGCAATTTGTGTACATCGCTGAATTAAGAGAACACCGATCCCGATTTTAATTGGATTTTCATGAAAAGGACAGATTGGTTAGCATCTATAGGCACCCTCACTATTAATTCGTAAACAAAAATATATCATACAATGGATCTCCATGAGGACAAATTGTGCTCCTTTACTAGCCGTCCTTATGAAGCAGAATTTGCATGTATTCATAAACTTCTACATGATTAGATGTAAGGGACCATGCAAAATTTATCACAATGATGGGACCGGTACATAACAAAATTCTCATAAAAAAAAATACGTGTCCCATGGCATTCGTAATTAAAAAAATATCTGTCCCATGCCTTTAAACTTATAAAAAAAAAATTACTGTCCCATGAGATTAGTGAGATTATTGACACAAAAGTAACAAAAAGTACAATGTTAACAATTAGTTACTGAAGGAGTCTATCAGATTACAGATATTTCAAACATAGATGAAAGTTTGTTTTTTTTTTTCATATTCATAACTCTTATAAACATTGTTTGTTACTTTCTTATTTTTTCCATTAATATGAAGATTTATGTTGCCATTTGTATACTTCGTTTGACCTTAAAAGATAGGACTTTTTATTATTTGGGGGGGGGGGATAAATATTTTTAGATATAACGAATGTGTCTCTTGAAACTCATTTTAAAAAAATTGTGTCCCATGGGTACTTAATGCTAAAAATGTTTTTGTCCCATGGTTTTCTTCGATGAAAAAAAAAATATTGTCTCATGCCTGTTTGTACTGGTCCCATCATTGTGATAAATTTTGCCTGGTCCCTAAACTCTTGCCGCGGCTTTCCATTCGACATACAAATCGATGACGTTTTTATATACATGTATCAGCAATGACCTGTCAACCCATGTTTATTCCACCTACGGGTGACAAGTAGTAAGATTACTATTACTTGTCCGAGCCGAGTGGAAACGACAATATTAATATACAAGGTACATAGGGGAAGGATTTTTTCAAAATAAAATACTCTTTTTTAGATATTTTTTTTCAAACTGGTATGTTTGTTTGTTTTGTTTGTTTGTTGTTTAACGTCCCTCTCGAGAATATTTCACTTATATGGAGACACCACCACTTGCCGGTGGAGGGCTGCAATTTATACCTATACTCGGCACTCAAGGCCATTGAGCAGTGAGGGATCTTTTTCGTGCCAACACCTACTGTGACACGGGACCTCGGTTTATACGGTATCATCCAAAGGACCGGTCTCCTTATCCAGCAGTTTATTCGTCAAATTTGCCATTACAAGATAATTGATGAAAAGAATGTCGAACAGACCCTGGTGTTTATATTCAGGAGGGTCTGTCTTAAGTACCTTTGTGCTTAAAAAAATCTACAATAATTTCCCAATGGTGAGCAGTAAACAACTGTCAACCAACAGTGAATTATTTGGAGCAAAGACTCAAACATGACAAACAACGTATAAAAAATGGGATACTGCTGCATGGCATTTTCAGAAGTCCATAATCGGATAAATTCTATCTCTACACAAAGAGGTTAAAGTCAACACGGAGTGGTAATCACTACTAGTTGTATAAGGGCGAATTCAAAAAAATGACCAAATGCATATTTATCAACCCACACTAAAAATACAGGCAATGAAAATAGATTTCTATGTCTCAGCATATGTCTTTAGATAGTGTCTAAATATCTGCCAAATATCTCTTTGATATCTCAATTAACAAAAAAGTTATGCCCAAAAATGATGCTAAAATTGTCAGGAGTGCAACACCTGTTTGTGACATTTTCAAATTTCAATATTTTTTGGAGATCTGTGAAGTAAATAATAATGGTTTATGTTGAAAATAAAGACTTTCCTGATAATATTCAAAGTGTTAAGCTTTAAATGTGGACTTTAGTAACTTTTGTTTAATCAAGTTGTGGTCATGACTGATGTTTAAAAAAAATGTTATACCATGTCAGGAGTGTAACAGAAAAAATGTAGTGTTGCCAAAAAAACGTCAATTGTAAAATTCTGAAAGAAAATTAAAACAAAAAAGAATTTTTGAAGTGTAAAACAATAACTGATATACATTTTAAAACTTAAAAATGTTGTATAAATCACAAGCAGCATTAATGAGAGTCAAGTATATGTGCATACCCAATAATGTCAGGAGTGCAACATTTGATGTTTTGCTCCCAAGCATGAAAAAACTATTATCATTATATGATTTTCTGATTTTTATTTTGGAAAATAAAGACACAAAGAACATTTTTACCAAATAAATTTATCAATTACAGGATCTGTCTGTGCTTCAGATCTATATTTCTATGGTCAGGAGTGCAACACATTTTTTTTAAAGATTCAAGTTGTGTGACAAAAACACTTCAATTCATGAGTAGAAGTATTCATTAATTAATAATGATCTTTTTGTATAATTAAATGCTAAATTATTGACAGTTTTATTATTAAAATCCTTCCTTTTTCAATTTTATCAATTCAGATGTGTTTTTATCTTTTGTGATTTTTTAATGAACGTTAAAAATTGTCATAAAATTCAAGTAATTCCTCCTCAAGTTCACTGAAACAACAGAACAAGTTCTTATGTAATTCTCACTTCACAATTCTACTTTAAAGGCCCCAATGCTTTTGGTCAGGAGTGCAACAAATATGCTAGAATTATAAATCATCCAATAAGAATAAAAATAAAGAAAAAATGATGAGTAGAATTTTTCTGGTAGGTTACTGTATTTGTCCTCTAAAGGAAAATATGCTTTAAAATATATTTCATCTTTTAAATATACATTTAAGCTAGTTTTTTTGGCATAAATAGGGAATAATTCCAGATAAAATACGAATCTTTGATACTTTCATCTGCTTTAAATATGTATTGGCCTATAAATATTGCACAATTTCATTACCACTTGATATTGCCAACACTTTATGAATTTTTGTGTTCTATGGTTTTAATTTTAAATTTTACTGCAGTCAGGAGTGCAAAAAAACTGCTTTATAATTACCAATGCTTTTTAACTATCTTTACTAAAAAATAAGTTGAAAAAAAATGTTTGATACTATTTGATGTTCAAAACACTATGTCTTTCAACAAATTACTGAAATTTTACGGTCAATTCAGGGAATAGTTTTCATCATTTCACATATATTTTAAATACAATTTATATATATTACACTTTGCAAATAATCATGTTTTAAGGTCTTCAAAATATGAAAAACCTGCCGTAAACGATGAAAAATATCAGCACGACAAATTGATTTACAAAGTGAGAATGGGTTAATGTGTGTTATAATTTTGAAACAATGTTAAATAAAATACATATCAGATGTCAGGAGTGCAACACAATAATGTAACATAGGGTCACTTCAAAATCTAGTATTTTTTGTAAGAAAACTCGTACATGTATATAAAAATTCTCTTTTGGCTTAGATTTAAGGAATTGACTTGAACGGACAAAAAAGTGAATTTTGGGGAATTTTATTGCTTCATATTTTTTTATATTAAAACTTTTCAAACCAGAATTGAAAAAATAATGTAAAATAACAATCAATAAGACAATTTTTTTGTCACATAAACAAGAGAAGATACTCAACCAAGGTCTAGATTTAATCATTTATACCCCTTTTACTATTGTAAAGCATAAAAAACTATAATTTCTTGTGATTATGTATTTTAGAAAGTCTTTTAAGGTGTAATGATATTTTCTTTTTTCAAAAGAAATTTTACTAATAAAAATTCTGTAACTTTTTAATCCAATTGTCTATTCTATTGCCACTTCAGGATTTTAAACTAGAATGCATGTGCAATATGATGATATGTGTAAAAAATATGTTATAAGTAATTGAATTTTACCAAAAAAATTCAGTTTGGTGGTCATTTTTTTTTAATTCACCCATATAAATGCAACACGGTGCCCCTTAAGTATCTGTAGGCTAAGACGAAGTCAAGTAGAGAAAAAAGAGTTCGAAAATTCTTATTAAGCTATACCCAGTCATCTCAAAAGAAAAGGTAGACCTAAGCGGCGAGACCAAGCATAAAGACTCCAGTGTAAACAAAAAGAGGTTGGCTACGTTACAAATACTGAGGAGAGGCTGCAGACTGGGGAGGTTTGGCAAGGATGTAACGAACAAATAAGACTTCATCCTCATTAAGAGAGGGGAAGCATGGGGTATGCCGAATTAGACAGTCGTCAATAAAAATCTAGACCGAAAAGATAAGTATGTGATGGGAACTTTTTTAACAATACACCTACATGTATAGACGTAGGCGTAGTCATGGACATACAATATACCTAATATACCTGATGTCTCTTTCTGATTCACTTTTACCACCATATTTCAAGTTGAAGTCCACACCCTGCATTTCCTACAGATATTACCAAACTTGCTTCCAAACTTTTCAATCATAAACAAAACTTACAGTGCTTAGATACTGAATATCTAAAACAAAGTTCTCCTAAGTGTTTTTGGCCTTCCTCTTCTTTCAACTATAATCCCGCTGGACACGTCATTTGTGTGTTAATATAGTTGAAAATGACGACCTTAGAAAAGCAATTATTTTAAAAGGTCCTAAATACAGGGAATCCTTTCAATTGGCGACAGTACTTCATTTCTATTTTAAATTCTGTTGAACATCTAAAACAAAATCCTCTGGAGTGTTCTTGCTCTTCTTCGTCTTTCAACTCTAGTCCCGCTGGACACGTCATTACTGGTGATGTCAATTTAGTTGAAAATGAAGACCTTAAAGCAATCATTGTAAAAGTTCTTAAATACAGGGAGCCCCGATCTTTCAATTGGCGACAGTACTTATCTCTGTTTTAAATTCTGTAGAAGATTATGCCTGAATTTGGACGAAATATACAGGGGGAGACTTGGACACTTTGTGAGAATGAATTAAATGTTTTAAAAAGATATTAAAGAATCATGATCAATATGCGAACCATCTATCCTTCCGTTTACAACAAATCGGAAGTGATAAAAGAATTGGAGAGTCTACACGAA